TCCGTCTTATTCCACAGTTCTCGCAGATGAAGAGAGCACAAAACTATTTGATCAAAATGATAAAAAAGAAGTCATACTTCTTTTAGAACACAGTTACTTGCGATGGAAAAATGACCCATGGAAATTAATGCAAAGGTATTTGAATTCAGTTTCTTATACTACACATGCTTATAAATACAGGATGCATTATGAGACAATACTCTCAGCGACAGGGTCTAGTGAATTTCATCATTTCTACCCAGCCAATATAAGAAAAGTTTATAACTTTTCAAATATCATTATAAAAAGAGTTTTGACTCCAGAAGAATGGAGAATGAGCCCCTTGAAGGAAAATGATTATATCCATCCAGAACAAAAGATAGCAGTAACATTTAATTACTGAAATTATGTGAACAGCTTTTATAAAGCTTTATTATATGAAAATGCTAATAAAAAGCATTCCTGGTTTATAAAAATATGCTCCCATGTTTTCGACCAACCAATTCCAAATAGGTTCTGTAAATGGTGGACTTTATATGATCTCTCGGTAAAAAATTTACAAGAACCTTACAAAAAATTATATTCTGAGTGGGTGGACATCTCCCCTAAACTTATAAGTTTAGAACAAGATAGTATATTCTTTGAAGGTATGTTCTTAATGTATTTTCTCATAGAATTCTCAATTCCCTGGATTATGAAGTGGTCCGTAGAGGTTAATAATACCTCTGAAGGGTTTTCATATCTACGGAGAACTTTCGTACAAAGTTCTGGAATAAGTTGATACAAAAAGACCCTGAAGGAAAAAATCATGGTCAAGAAATACTTGATTTAAGAAATATAAAAATAGAAAAATACAACAATACAGATAGATCAAAATCACAGGTGGATGATCTCAATCTATTCAAGCAAATTGCGAGGAAGCTTCATATGAAGAAAGGACTAATATCTAAATCAGAGGATATAGCCATATATATTGAAAGAGTAAAAAGAGATTTGATAAAAAAATCTCGATATAGATATTAGGGATGATATATCCATGGTGTCAGCAAGCCACACCAACGATGATGATGAATCATGCATGGCAGGAGAGGCCCAGAGTGCTAATAGCAACGAAGAGATTGACATCGATGCTCTTCTCAAAAGACTCCAAGAACAAGTGGAAGAATCTTCCAGCAACACCACCTACAAGGGAAAGGGAAAGGTGTAAAGAAGGCCCCACAAATTAAATAATTAGGGTAATAAGTCAAAAGACTTTAATAAAGTAGGCTAGAATGATATGTCGGCCATATTTCGTAGTGAAAAGACCAGGCATGTTTGTCAGTCTTATTCCTTTATTATTGGCCATTGTAAATTTTGTGGGCAACCTTATCTTATCGTTTTAGATTTCTCGACCTCTATATAAAGAGGTGAAACTTTATTTAGTGAGGCAGGTCTTAGAACCCCCTCTCTCTCTATCTCTCTCTCTAGAATTGCAATATATTCTTCTGTAAATCTTTTGAGTTTAAATAATAAAAAGCCTTCAGTTTGGTTGGTACATCATCTCGTGTGGACGTCTACTCTAGGTACTCTGTAATTTAAGTTCTTCTTTATGAGCTTAGCCTAAATGATAGGCTAAACTATTTGTGTTGAACTATAACATACTAAGTTACTATAAGATATGGTGATTATGTCTATTATTGAGACAATTTGAACAGTATTACTAAGGTCAAGTATAAGCGATCCAGGCAGGTTCTTGAAAGGCTATCGAAGGAATCTGTTGGATTACCCGTTAGCCAGGAGGGCGTGTAGGGCGGACCCGGATAGTAGAAGCTTTCATTAACTATTGCCAGGATTGTTTATACTTGTAAAAGATCCTTGAGTAAAACTTACCGATCCGTCGAAATTTTGGTATTAAAGCCATGAACTTTTAGTAACTATAGGTGGTATAGGTCAACACAGTGTTTAATTATGAATATCATAAAGAGGAGATCTACTGTTAAAAATAGTAGAAAAGAAGAATATGATATACCACAACATCTTGATCTACTTAATAAGTGGACTATTCCTAAAATTCCTACCAGGATTATATACCAAATGGGAACTTTTGAAAAACTCAGTCTCAAGCAAGTAGTTAATACCACTGAAGAAACTATCACTATTGATAGTAATCATCAAACTTTTAGATTATTATTTGAAAATGATTTGTCCCCTTATAGGGACATTTACATATTCATACATATTGGCTTGGTCCAGGTGGCATTTAAGCCCCTCACCTTGGGTGGACTACCAGAAAGCTTCATAGCAGCTTTATGATATGGTAGAAACCAAAATTGGAAGAAATCTCTTATAGGGACCCTACAAACTAGTCTTGCTTATGGACCAGTTTATTTTAATGCTTATCCATATTTACAGATTTCGTTATAGGATGAGAATTCATTAAGTTCTCTTATGCTTAATGTTAAGCTTCATGGTTATGATTATATGCCTGGAACTGAAGTTGTTTGCATATTCTATAGAATTTATTATAAATTCTTACATACTTTGACAGGATTGTTTATACTTGTAAAGGCACCTTGAGTAAAACTGAACGATCCGTCGAAATTTTGGTATCAAAGCCATGGACTTTTAGTAACTATAGGTGGTATAGGTCAGCACAGTGTTTAATTATGAATATTATAAAGAGGAGGTCTACTGTTAAAAACAGTAGAAAAGAAGAATATAATATACCACAACACTTGATCTACTTAATAAGTGGACTATTCCTAAAATTCCTACCAGGATTATATACCAGATGGGAACTTTTGAGAAACTCGATCTCAAGCAAGTGGTTAATACCACTGAAGAAACTATCACTATTGATAGTGATCATCAAACTTTTAGATTATATTCTGAAAATGATATGTCCCATTATAGGGATATTTACAGATTCATGTATATTGGCTTGGTCCAGGTGGCATTTAAGCCCCTCACCTTAAGTGTCTACCAGAAAGCTTCATAGCAGCTTTAAGATATGGTAGAAATCAAAATTGGATGAAATCCCATATTGGGACAATACAAACTAGTCTTGCTTATGCACCAGTTTATTTTAATGCTTATCAGAATTTACAGATTTCGTTATAGGATGAGAATTCATTAAGTTCTCTTATGGTTAATGTTGAGCTTCATAGTTATGATTATATGCCTGGAACTGAAGTTGTTTGCATATGCTATAGAATTTATTATAAACTCTTACATACTTTGAATCCTATGTGTAAGATTATTGATTTTAAAAATGAAACTATTCTTATAGAAACCAATTTTGGTAAATCTAAGGTTGTTACCAGAAGACCTATCTGGTGGGACGAAATTGATTTCCCACAAGAGTGGGTTATTGAAGGAGAAGCCCAACCAAAAGATAATATTATTGATAATGATAGCATGTCTTCTAGAATTTCTAGATCTAACTCTTTTTATATTTCTCCTGTTGATTATACTGCATAGGTTCCTTCTAGATCATATACTTCTCAGATTAGATAAAATTATAGATGTGACAATATTAAAATTGATAAAGATAATATTGCTAGACCTATGCCTAGGCACAACTCAGACTTAGATATAACTGAGTCTAAAATGAATTTTCCAGATGGATTTTCTACATAGAATTGTTTTATGATTACTGAAAATCAAATTGATTTTAGTTCGGGTTCACCGGCGAGAAAAAAGATTTCTAATGAATTTCAGAAATCTAGATGGAAACCTTTCAAAAAATGGTTCTTTAATAATTTTAATAAAGAAGATCAGATTGGTTTTCAAGAAGAATTTTATACTGATCTTATTAGATCAAAGAAAAATGTTTTAATTGCTTTTGTCCCATGGTTTATGACCAAGCATGTTATTAATTATATCGCTGTGATAGAAAGAGATTTTACTATGGATAATGGAGAAGTTACAAAATCTATTTTTCCTCCTTTACAATATTTTCAAATTAATAAGGATGATAAGATTGTTCATTTTAATGCTCTTTCAAAATTATTTGAAGATAATACTGCTTTACTTACTACACAACATATTATTATGCAGCATAATTATGCTAACATTTATATGAGAATATTAGGAGAGGATATTACTTCTATTCATGATAAAGTTGATAAACTACTTTCAAGACTCAGTTCCAATTCTAAAGGAAAAGAGAAAGTAGTCAATACCAGTATCCAACCTCCCCCGTAGATCGGTGATTTCAAGTTAAAAGACTTTTCAGAACTGGAGGATTTCTTAATACACACCATCCAATGTATATGGAATTTTTGGATTTTATGCAATCCAAGCAAGGAAAGGATAATGTTCCTCCGTCTTATTTCACAGTTCTCGCAGATGAAGAGAGCGCAGAAGTATTCTATCAAACTGATAAAAAAAGTCATTCTTCTTCTAGAACACAGTGACTTGCGATGGAAAAATGACCGATGACATTTAATGTCAAGGTATTTGGATTCAATTTCTTACACTACACCTGCTTATAAATACAGGATGCATTATGAGATGAAACTCTCAACGAAAGGGCTTGGTAAATTCCAGCATTTTTACCCAGTCAATACAAGAAAATTTATAACTTTTCAAATATCATTATAAAAAGAGTTTTGACTCCAGAAGAATGGGGAATGAGTCCCTTGAAGCAAAATGAATATATCCACCCAGAACAAAAGATAGCAGTAAAATTTAATTACTGGGATTATGTGAACAACTTTAATAAACCTTTATTATATGAAAATGCTAATAAATAGATTTCCTGGTTCATAAAAATATGCTTCCAGGTTTTCGACCAACCAATTCCAAATTGGTTCTGTAAATGGTGGACTTTATATGGTCCCTCGATAAAAAATTTACCAGAACCTTACTAAAAGTTATATTTTGAGTGGCTGGACATCTCTCCTAAACTTATAAGTTTAGAACAAGATAATATATTCTTTGAAGATATGTCCTTGATGTATATTTTCATAGAATTCTCAATTCCCTGGATTATGAAGTGGTCCGTAAAGGTTAATAATACCTCTGAAGGATTTCCATGTCTACAGAGAACTTTTCGTACAAAGTTCTGGAATAAGCTGATACAAAAAGTCAACAACAACAACAACATGCCCAATGAAATCCCACTAGGTGGGGTCTGGGGAGGGTAAATTGTACGCAGACCTTGCCACTATCTCGTGGAGGTAGAGAGGCTGTTTCCGGGAGACCCTCAGCTCAAGAACAACAAATCTAAGTGACAGGAGAGATATATATAAAACATAACAGCCAATACAAACGATAGCGTATAATCAACAAATGAGACAGTAACAACAAGAAAGTAATGTGATGCGAGAAACGCAGTAAACAGCATAAGGCTAGGTCTACTCCAAACACTAACAACCCATACCCTTGCAAGGGAAGACAACACGCTATCCCTACTAACCTTCAACCTTAATACGTGACCTCCACTCCTTCCTATCTAGAGTATGTCCTCGGTAATGTGAAGCATAGCCAAGTCTTGTCTAATCACCTCCTCCCAATACTTATTGGGCCTACCTCTACCCCTCCGCGTACCCTCTACCACCATTACCTCGCACCTCCTCACTGGGGCGTCTGCGCTCCGTCTCTTCACATGTCCAAACCATCTCAGTTTCGTTTCCCTCAACTTGTCCACCACAAAGGCCACTCCCACCTTCTCCCGGATAACCTCATTCCTAATCCTGTCGCTTCTAGTGTGCCCACACATCCATCTCAACATCCTCATCTCCGCAACATGCATTTTATGAACGTGTGCGTTCTTGACTAGCCAACACTCCGCTCCATACAACAAGGCCGGTCTAACTACCACTTTGTAAAACTTACCTTTAAGTTTCGGTGGAATTTTCTTATCACACAATGCTCCAGAGGCAAGCCTCCATTTCATCCAAGCAGCCCCAATGCGATGTGTGACATCATCATCGATGTCACCACTCCCTTGGATTACAGCCCCAAGATACTTAAAACTTTCCTTCTTAGGAATGATTTGTGCGGCAAGTCTCACTTCCACATCTGTCTCATCCACCACATCACTGAATTTGCACCCCAAATATTCTGTTTTGGTCTTACTCAACCTGAACCCTTTGGACTCCAGCGTTTGTCTCCATACCTCCAACCGCGCATTAACTATGTCCCGCGTCTCATCAATCAGTACTATGTCATCCGCAAATAACATACACCATGGGACCTTCTCCTGAATAGACCGCGTCAACTCGTCTATCACCAAAGCAAATAGGAAAGGGCTTAGGACTGATCCCTAATGCAGCCCCATCTCAATTGGGAAATGTTCTGAGTCTCCTCCAACTGTTCTAACCCGAGTCTTGGCTCCACCGTACATGTCCTTTATCGCCCTAATATACATCATCGGGACTCCTTTAGACTCCAAGCACCTCCAGAGGACATTCCTCAGTACTTTGTCATATGCATTTTCAAGGTCAATGAACACCATATGTAGGTCTCTCTTCCTTTCTCTATATTTTTCTACCAGTCTACGCATAAGATGAATGGCTTCGGTGGTCGAACGTCCCGGCATGAATCCAAACTGATTCTCAGAGATGGACACCCCTCTTCTCACCCTCATCTCCACCACTCTCTCCTAAATCTTCATAGTATGACTCAACAATTTGATACCCGTGTAGTTGTTACAGTTTTGGATATCACCCTTGTTTTTATACAACGGAACCATTGTACTCCACCTCCATTCTTCAGGCATTTTTGTTGTCTTAAAGATAACATTAAACAGCCCAGTTAACCACTCTATGCCCGCCTTGTCCATGCTCTTCCAAAATTCTACCGGAATCTCATCGGGTCCGGTCGCTCTTCCCCTACTCATCCTACTAATAGCCCGTATAACCTCCTCGGACCTAACGTACCTACAGTATCCAAAATCCCGAAGTCTTTCAGAGTGTGCCAAATCACCCAACACAATGTCTGCTTCACCTTTTTTCATTTAAAAGTTTGTGAAAGTAGCTTCGCCATCTTTGCTTGATGGCGGTCTCTTCCACCAGTATTTTGCCTTCCTCATATTTGATACACTTCACTTGGTCCAAGTCGCGCGCCTTCCTCTCTCTTGCTTTTGCGAGCCTATACAACTTCTTATCCCCACCTTTGTCCCCCAGCTTGACATACAAGCGTTCGAAAGCTGTCGTCTTCGCCTTCGTAACAGCTAACTTACCTTCTGTCTTTGTCGTCTTATAGACTTTCTTAAGCGTCCGCTTCTCTTCCTCGTCTACGCACTCCGCCAATTTTATGTATGCAGCCTTCTTCGCTTCCACTTTACCTTGGACTTCCCCATTCCACCACCAATCTCCTTTATGGCCTCCAAATTTACCCATTGACACCCCTAACACCTTAGAAGCAACTTCCCTAATGCAACTAGCTGCTTTATTCCACATGTTGTCCGCATCCCCGCTACCACTCCAGGCCCCCATCCCCATCAGCTCATCACCCATCTCCTGAGAAAGGGCAGGGGTCAACCCACCCCATTTAATCCTCGGTCGATCAGGTATCATCTTCCTCCTCCTATCCCTCTTAATCTTCAGGTCCATCACCAAAAGCTTGTGTTGGGTAGTGAGGTTTTCACTTGGGATGACCTTGCAGTCTTTAAAGAGACCTCTATCACCCTTCCTGAGGAGTAAGTAATCTATCTGGGTCTTAGCTACTGGGCTACGAAAGGTAACCAAGTGGTTCTCCTTCTTCGGAAAGCATGAGTTCGCAATCACCAACTCAAAAGCCTTAGCAAAGTCTAGAAGCGAAGTTCCACCTCCATTTCTCTCCCCAAAACCAAAGCCTCCATGAACATCATCAAATCCACTAGAAGTTGCCCCGATGTGGCCATTAAAATCACCACCAATGACAATCTTCTCGGTATTTGGTATACCTCTAACTACCTCATCTAAATCCTCATAAAAGCGCTTTTTGGCCTCCTCGTCCAAGCCCACTTGAGGGGCATAAGCACTAATAACACTCAAAGTACTTCCTCCAATGACTAGCTTAATCGTCATCAGCCTATCATTGATCCTCCTAACCTCCACCACTTGCTCCCTCAAATCCCCGTCTACTAAAATACCCACTCCATTTCTATCCCTTGACCCTCCTGAGTACCACAACTTAAACCCATCAACATCCCGAGCCTTGGCGCCTACCCATCTAGTCTCTTGGACACAAGCTATATTTATTTTTCTCCTCTTGAGAATTTTCACTAGCTCTATGGACTTCCTCGTCAACGAACCTATGTTCCAAGATCCTACCCTCACGTTAAGAGAACCCGTAACCCCCTTACCTCTCTTATCCCTCGACCTCGGCCTCAACCGAGGACATGACTCACTACCACCATCAGATACCAAATCCACTAGAACTAAACTGCAAACACAGTAAGGTCTACACAGAAATACACTAAAGACTGCAGCAGTAGTACACAGTAAGGGCAATATAACAGCAGCTACACTAAATGGTCCAGTACAATGTATATTCTAAAGGACACGATAACACCCACTATATTATATACTGCAGCTCAGGTCAGAACTATAATAGAAAACTGATAAAGGATCTGCAAGAAAGGTCCCAGCAGCGACTAGATTCAGAGCAAAAAAGGGGAGAGAAAAAGGATAGATAGAACCTGGTCGGTGAAGATAGAGGGTTTCAGTGATCTATGGGTACTTTTCCGGCCAGATCTGGTTGATCTCCGGCGACACACAGTAGCACTGTCGTCTCTCTTCTGGACTGGTCGCCGGGGAAGATAGATGAGTTCGCCGGAGAAGCTGAAGAATGTTCTTACCTTCGCCGGGGTTTGCTGTTCGCCGCTCGCTGGTCTGAGCAGCTGGAGCTGCTGCTCGTTGTTATCGTCCTCACTGGAGCTTAGGAGGAGAGAGAGATTGTTCATTTTAATGCTCTTTCAAAATTATTTGAAGATAATACTGCTTTACTTACTACACAACATATTATTATGCAGCATAATTATGCTAACATTTATATGAGCATATTAGGAGAGGATATTACTTCTATTCATGATAAAGTTGATAAACTACTTTCAAGACTCAGTTCCAATTCTAAAGGAAAAGAGAAAGTAGCCAATATCAGTATCCAACCTCCCTCGTAGATCGGTGATTTCAAGTTAAAAGACTTTCCAGATCTGGAGGATTTCTTAGAAAAGAGATTTAAAGGAGGTAATCTAAAGCCTTTGAAGGTTGATAACCTGTCAGGAGAAGAAAGCAGTCATAAGAAAGACTTTTCTGATGATATTAATAAAATCTCAAAAAAATATGCGAGAAAACCGGTCCAAAGGATGTACTACTATCCTAGACCTACTCCTCAGGATGTGCTCTTGGAAGAGCATGAACATATTATAACTAATACAGTATTCGATCAAAATGATAAAAAAAGAAGTCATACTTCTTCTTGAACACAGTAACTTGCGATAGAAAAATGACCCATGGCAATTAATGTCAAGGTATTTGGATTCAGTTTCTTATAAAAAATTCAGAATTTTGTATCTTTTCTCAATTTGTATTCAAACCAGTATGTATGCTATTAATATTTGTATTCATTTAAAATCTCATGTTATATAGTTTATGAATCTTGTATTTGTTTCAAATTTGCATTAATTCCAAATGTATGTCAACTAGTTATATATTTTATTTAAGAATGATTGCAGCAAGTATTCACTAATTCCTATTCAGTTTTATATTTCATTGTCACTTTTCCATCATATTATTTTTGTTTTTTTTATATCATTATTTATACAAAATACAACATAAAAAATTGAATGAATACAAATACAAATAATATATATATTGGAATGAGTATGACTTAAGAAATGATACAAGATTCTGAAGAAAACAATAAATACACAGTGAAAAAAATACATGAATACAAATATGTTTCTTAAATAACTATAGATTCATTTGGCATACCTATTGGAATGAATATAAACTAATAAAGAAATGCAAGTTTCATTATACAAAATACAACATGAAAACTAGAATGAATACAAATACAAATAGTATACATATTACAATGAATACGATTTAAGAAAGGATACAAAATTAAAAAAAATAAAAATACACTGTGAAAAATGTATGACAAATAACAGATAAAACTACATGTGTTCAAATTTGTAAATTAAAAAAATTCAAATTTAATCTATAAAACTATAAGTTATTATCATAGAGTTTCATAACACTAATTAGTTTTGAAAGACAGGGCCAAATAATAACGCACGAGAGACGTTTCTACTAAAAATAAAATAATCACAATTTGGACAAGGAAGATAGTTTGGAGTTAAATGTGGAGTTTTAGGAAGAAGTAAAAGAATCACCTATTTTGGGTCTCATAATCTTTTGTGACGGAAGTAATGAGGACTTTCAACAATTTTATCTAATTTGAAAGATTCTTTCCCTTGATTTTCTCTAATTTGTTATTTCTTAGTTATATTATGTTAATTTAAGTAAAGAAAAAAATATATATAAAACAGCCTTGTAACAAAATAAAATATTGAGATTTTAAATAACTATTAAAAATATGGCTAATGAATGATTAAATGGTAAAATATTAGTGATTTGAAAATTTTCCCATTAATTTATTTGTTTATTAACTGAAAATTCATTTTTAAGGTGAATCAGTCCATATCGACGTCCCCACGACATTTTGACAATTTGTATTGGTCTCTCTAATCAAACAAAGTGAACCGCAAAGCCCTAATGTAAAACCCTCAGCGTTGTGGTTCTTCAAACACAAATCGTGGGGAAATGACTACTTTCAAGAGAGCTTCAAGAGCTCTCACATCCAAATTAGCTGCAATTTATACTTGCAATTTTCATCCGGTAACCTCCTTATCGCATTTTTCTTATACTCAAAATGCTTCATTTTGCTCTCGTCCTCGCCAAAACAATAAAGAAGGATCAACTATAGATTTGAATCAGTACCTTTCTGATAACATTCGTAACTTTTCAATTATTGCCCATGTTGATCATGGAAAATCAACCTTAGCTGACAGACTTCTGGAACTTACTGGAACCATTAGAAAAGGACATGGTCAGCCTCAGTACTTAGATAAATTGCAGGTAAATTCCCCTTCATTCATGTTATAATAAGTAATGGTTAAAATGCTCTTTAAGTTTGAAGTTGCTCAATTTTATTTTATTTTTGAACTGGAGCAACCCCTGTTTCTTCAAAAATTTACTCCAATATATGTAAACTTCTAGTTAGCGGTAAAGGTTGTGTACACTTTAATCTTGTAGACACCACTTTTGTGGGATTACACTGAGTATGTTGTATATGTTAAGTTTGAATAGACATGGAGGTAGCGGAGAAGTTAGAAATTTTGTTAAGGGTATGTATGAAAAATTATTTGACAATATATTTCATATAATTTTCTATATGCATAATATAATTTTTCGACGAAGGGCGTTTAATTGGCCACCCTGGGCTGGGCTATATGTGGCTATGTGGATCTTACGAAAGTAATGAAGATATGACATATATGCCATAACATTTGTATAACTATAATATATGATTTTTGTAACATGCCATCTGAAATATTTTCATAACATTTGTGTGGTTTTAAAAGGTGAAAAGAGAAGTTAAGTTAAAATTGTAACCAAACTTAGAAACAAGTCATTCTTGTTGGAACGGGACTAAAAAGGAAATATTGCCAGATAAACTGGAATACTCTTCCTTGTGAATTTTTTAATCTTTCTAGCTAGAAGTCGAGACATTCAGGGGTTACTTATTGAAGTTAACTTAATTATGTCTCCAACATACCCTTGCATGGACGAGCGTAATACTTTCTTATGGGTCAAACACCTGAAAATTCATTTTTCATGGGTAGAAATGTGTGACCATTTCATATAAAAAGTTAAGCTATTAGAAAGAGTACATTTTTATTACTTAATTATGTCTTCGACATTATTTTTTTAATAGTGAGAAAAAAAGAAACTTTTATCAAAACTTTTGGGTTGAATCAGAATATTTTTGAACTTTTGGTTAGCTTTGTTATTTATAGTGTATTTTTATAAATTTTCCATTTGCCCGATAAAAATGCCTCTCATAATCAGACAGCGTTTAGGGACGAGCATGTAAACTATTTTGAGGTTATCTTTGATCATTTTTCTGGGTCCAGAAGCCTTTATTCTGTAACATTTGTGCTAATATGATTATTTCCGGGCTCAAATATGGGAAGTTGTGTGTTAGCTGTTGTAATGCGTTTGCATTTACTTATTAGCTTTAGGTGAAAGTGAAACTTTACATACATATTTGGCTTGGAATGAAGGCAGTCCTATATTGGTATGAGGCTTATGACAATTTCACACCCTTATAAAAAATAAAAAAAAAGAATTAGATTTTTTTACACTCATAGGAGTTCGTTGTCGTATTCTTTAGGAGCGGACAATTGTGGAGCGTTTGTCTTTCATCCTTTGTCTGTGACAGGTTGTGTATGTTGTGTATGTAGGGGTATAAGGAAGGGGATAAGTTCTGTTAAGAGGCTATGTACTTCATGGATTTATGCATATTTTTTTTGTACTTTGAGGTTATCAATTTGAAATTCCAGATCACATCTTTATGAGAGAGAACTAGAGGTGAAGTGTGACACAGTAGTGCTAATCATCTTGGTTTTTTTTCCCCTCTAAATAATGAATATAGTTGAGACAGATGTTCACACCCTAGGAAAGTGATGCTGATCTGAAGTGATAACTATCCTTCTGTTGTTTGAAATGGTGGTTATGAACAAAAAAACTAATTGTCTGTTTAACTATTCGAGGATGGAACTAGAAGAGAAATTGTGTTTGGTATGAGGTGGACTATGACAGATCTAATTTCGAGAGGTTTTAAATGAAAGTTAGGGAAAGAAAATCAGTATCTTTTTTTTTTCTTTTGATAACCGAGAAATCCGTTTGTGACCCGCCCTTCAACCAATCACAACCTTCTAAACTCGGTGGATAATGGGCCCGCCCCTCTACCCTTCTCCACTTAAATACCGGGCTTCGCTTTGCATGGTGTGGGGCTTGAACCTGCGACCTAAGCCACAAATCCTCCACCTTTTGCCACTTGAGCTAGGCCTTGGGGGCGAAAATAAGTATCTTTTTAAAAGCTAAAAGGTAGGAAAGCCTTGCTTTTGTTGGTTTGTGGTGAACCTTTTATTTTTAGTGGTAGGTGAAGGTGTTAAAAGGGGACATGGTATGGTAGACCTAAAATCACATGGAAGGAAGTGTCTCAAAGGACCTCTAAATGCTTGGTATCAATAGATATGGCACAATGGAAGAAAAAGATTCACATAGGAGATAGCTGCTAGTTGAGGATAGGTTTTTGTGAAGGAGGAACTAAGTAGCTAATCACGCTTGCACCAATCACAGTGTGTGTATAATATAATACAATTATAGCTAATAACATCAAGGTACTTGTATACACTTAGTTAGTTCCTTTACACCCCCCTCCTTCAAGCTAGGAGCTATGAAGATGTTCTTCATACCTAGCTTGGACATAAGATATGTGTGAGGGCCATTGCCAAGTGCTTTAGTAAGAACATCTGCAGGTTGTTTGGAGGATGGGAGGTAGGCAGTGACAAGTAGTAAGCCATCCTGAATCTTTTCTCTGATGAAGTGACAGTCAATGTCAATGTGTTTTGTTCTCTCATGAAACACATGGTTAGCAGCAATTTGTAATTCTGAAGTACTATCTGAATAAAGAGGCACTGGTAATGAAATGGCAACACCTAATTCCTGAAACAAACCAACAGTCCAAACAACTTCTGCAACAGTTGAGGCCATGGCTCTGTACTCAGCCTCAACTTCGCTTCTAGAAACTGTAAGCTGCTTTTTAGACTTCCATGAAACAAGTGAATCTCCATACTTGATTAAGTATCCAGTGATTGAGTGATTGACCTTTTGCTGTTGATACATGAACCCCAATCAGCATCACAAAATACCTTCAAATTATTTCCACCAGTAGATGACATTAAAATTCCCAGACCTGGTGATGTCTTCAAATACCTGACCAGTCTGAGGGCTGAATTCATATGTGAGGCCTTTGGTGCATGCATAAACTAACTTAAACACTAAACTGTAAAGGATAGGTTTTAGACTTGTATGAAACTTTTATTATTGTTATTGTTATATATATATATATATATATACACATATATTAACGCATTTTCAGTTATACAGTATTTTATTTATTATGATGATGATATGATATGATATGAGCTTATCCAAACTTGTTTGGGACTGAGACATAGTTGTTGTAGTGGTTCATTAATTGTTGAGAAGATTAACCAGTTCCCTTCTTCTGACCACAACACTTTGATATGTGTCTCGAACTAGTTTCTTGGGCTATTGCTACAGAAGCTAGCTCCCTCTTCAAAACCTCTAACCTCTGCCTCTCCGCCAACTTCACCCCTTCTCCCACCCTCTCTAACTCCCAAACTTCATTTACAATTTCCTTAATTTTGACCCTTACCCTTCCAAAACACTTATTCCACATCCTAATCTTTTTGTTACTTTTAACTTTTTTTGCAAGTCTGAAAGAGGGAGTTCCAACTTCCAACCACTTCATTGCTATTCCACCAATCATTCACTCTGTGACCAAAGTCCACCACATGCAACCACATGTTCTCGAATCTAAAAGATGCTCTTATGCTTGTGCCTCTTCCACCCTCCAACATGATAGGTAGGTGATGCAATGTCAATTTGGGAGGGCGTCTGTATCACATTTGGAGTCAACTCCTACCTAGTGGTAGACACCAAGAACCTGTCAACTCTTGATCAAAGATGTAGAACCTTCTGACCTGGCCCAAGTGAAACTAGCACCTATCAAAGGAGGATCAATAAGAAAATGATAATCAATATACTTTAACTCCATTTCCCTGAACACCACCTGACAGCCCACTCTTTCTTCCAGGAATCTAATAGTATTATAGTCTCCACCTAAAACCCACAGAATATTCCAATCCCCCAAAGCCACCGCCATCTAATCGCAAAAAATCGCTTTAGACCTCTCCCTGGAAGGACTATACACATCCTCAAGACCCCACTTGAACTGAGCAGCTAACAAAATCTGTACTGTTTGTCATTTGTCATTATTAGAGAACTAATTACTTGTGCTCTTTGTTCATATATATGCAATTAACTCCTGATACTGTTTGGTATATTTTAGTGAAAAATCTGTTCTTTATCTTAGGTAGAGAGGGAACGGGGAATAACTGTTAAAGCCCAAACAGCAACTATGTTCCATCGTCACAAGTTCCTTGGCAGTGACACAGATTTTTTGTTGAACCTTATTGACACACCTGGGCATGTGGATTTTAGCTATGAAGTATCCAGATCTTTGGCAGCTTGTCAAGGTGCCCTTTTGGTTGTTGATGCAGCCCAAGGTGTGCAGGCACAGACTGTTGCTAATTTTTACCTCGCGTTTGAATCAAACCTGGCCATAATTCCTGTCATAAATAAAATTGATCAACCCACTGCTGATCCAGATCGGGTAAAAGCACAGCTCAAATCCATGTTTGACCTTAATCCAAGTGATGTACTATTGACATCAGCAAAAACTGGTCTAGGTCTAGAGCAGGTTCTTCCTGCTGCAATAGAGAGAATTCCTCCACCCCCTGGTAAAAGCACTTCACCTTTGCGAATGCTTTTGCTGGATTCATATTATGATGAGTACAAAGGAGTTATCTGCCATGTGGCTATTGTTGATGGTGCTCTGCACAAGGGTGACAAGATTTGCTCTGCTGCGACTGGCCAAAGTTATGAAGTTTCCGATGTTGGTATCATGCACCCAGAACTTGTGGCGACAGGAATCCTTTTAACAGGTCAAGTTGGATATATAGTCAGCGGAATGCGTTCAACAAAAGAGGCCCGTGTTGGAGATACTCTACATCATACACGAACAGTTATACAGCCCCTTCCAGGTAACTTTGCTATGTCTATGCCATAGATTTTAGAGGAAAATTGGAATATTTAGAAAAGCACAGCAACTTGCTTATGTGGGCTGTGGAGAACATATCTTTCATAGTTGAGATGTCCATGTTATTTATGATGTCTCGAGTTCCTTTCTCCTACCGACCTCCCCCTGCACGCCCAAAAAAATTTGTGAGAGGGAAACTTTTGGTGGATCTTCCAAATGGGCTAGAGAAAATGCCTCACAAGAGATTTTGGTTGATGTTCCATAAACAAAAGCAAAAGATGCATTATGTTAAAGCTTATGATTGGACAATACATCCTATCAACAGTTTTAGCTTCATACCCTGAAAGGTTTAGCTATGCACAATGTCATCATGGCCCCTAAAAGATTTCATTATGAGATGGTTTGTGTGTTTTTCTATTCTTGTTAGCAGAGCTTGTCTCATCACAATATTTTCCTTGGTGATACATGAAGGTTTCAAGCCAGCAAAACATATGGTCTTTTCGGGCCTATATCCAGCTGATGGATCTGATTTTGAGGCACTTAACCATGCCATAGAGAGACTGACGTGTAATGATGCCAGTGTCTCTGTAACTAAAGAAAGCAGCACAGCTCTAGGTCTGGGTTTCAGGTATGGATAAATCGTAATTCTTGACATTATATTTTAACTTCATTTATTGTTCCTAATGTAGTCTCTTAACCCCTTCTAACAGATGTGGTTTCTTGGGCTTACTTCACATGGATGTTTTTCATCAGCGACTTGAGCAGGCATGTTCATAAAGTCATTTTAAATGTATTTGCCTCAGTTAAAACCTAAATTGATGAATATCAAACAAGGAAGACAACCTATCTCTTGCATAAGCAATTACTTCTCCAGATGCTGGTCTCTCTTGTTGGAACCCCTCTCTCTCTCGTGCACGTGCACACACTTGTACAAAAAGATAAAAAAGGAATAATAAATAAGTCTTGATTCCTTCCTCTTATGGTTTCTTTCTGTTTGGAACAATTGAAAGATAGCACTGTATTTTACTTCAGAAGTTGATTATTTAGTGTAATGGCTGACAGGAACATGGAGCACATGTCATTTCCACTGTTCCTACAGTGCCATATATTTTTGAGTACTCAGATGGAAGGTATGGTTGGTTACCTGCATGCTTTTACCTTTTTAAACGCTCTTTACCAACCTTACCAATCTTCTTCTGTTTCCTCCTTTTCTTGGTTCTATCCTTGTAGCAAATTACAGGTTCAGAATCCCGCTGCTTTGCCTTCAAACCCCAAAAATAGACTCATTGCCTGCTGGGAACCTACTGTGTTAGCTACTATTATAATCCCTAGTGAGTAAGCTCCCATGAACTTAACATTTTTTGTTATTTTCCTCAGCAATCTGTGGCAATTTCTTGATCTCTCTGCTTGGGGTTGTTTGGTGTTAAGGAAGTATATTTTTACTCACATCATACTACTGCTTTAAGGTATGTGGGGTCTGTTATCACTTTATGCGCTGAGCGTCGCGGGGAGCAATTGGAGTACTCATTCATTGATAGGTAACTGTTTCTTTTTATGCTGATTAGATGTCTGCTCATGAAAGATGTACCAAGTATGTGGCACACAGAGTGACATGAAAGCTATTACATTTTCCTTTGTTTTTAACTTTATTCTTTTCTTTTCAATCATTTATTTTTAAGTGAAACTAGTGGGTGATTACAGCCTTTTAATATCTTGCCAAATATCTTCTGGAAAGACACTTTATATAGCAAAGCATGCTTGATTTGAAATTGATTTTTTTTTTTTTTTTGGACTTTCATGAGGAATTTCTTTTCATCTTTTCTCAAGTTCTTATTAACTACAAGATTGATGGTATACAAGTTTTCCCATCTTGTGCAGCCAGCGAGCTTTCATGAAGTATCGCATGCCTCTGAGGGAAATTGTTGTGGACTTCTACAATGAATTGAAAAGTATAACATCAGGATATGCTTCGTTTGATTATGAGGATTCAGAGTAAGTTCGCTCCTCTCCTCTTCTTGTGCTGTTTCTCTCAGGAACATACAAACACAACACAGAAATTTATCCATCAAATATATAAGTATGAAGGACTCACCTGAGCATCTTTCCGCACATCAAAGTTTAATTCATTCAGCATAAAAGTTTTCCACAACAATTTTTTCTAGTTGCAAGTGCTTCTGATCCAATTTTGCTGCTTCCTCTTTTCCTTTCATCCTCTTTTTTATTTTTTTTGGGGATAGATATCAGGCTTCGGATTTGGTGAAGCTGGATATTCTCCTTAATGGCCAACCAGTTGATGCCATGGCAACCATTGTCCACAAATCAAAAGCTCCACGTGTTGGCCGCGAACTTGTGGAGAAGCTTAAAACGTTTATAGACAGGTTGACTTATTCACCCTGTTATCTGTTTCATTTTGTTTTATTGCTACTTCCAGTTCTAATACAGATAGTTGAGCAGGCAGATGTTTGAAATTATCATACAAGCTGCTATTGGATCTAAGGTCATAGCCCGGGAGACGTAAGTTTAATTTCTCCATCGATATCATACATCTGGCAGACTATTACATTATCCTGTGAAATATAATTATCACTGTTTCAGCTTTTTCTATAACACTTCTGTTATTATACAAAACAGTGGTGATTATTTATGGTTTCCTCCCCATGATGAGCACCATTGATGTAAAAACATGCTATTGAACAGCTGTTTTTGGCTGATTGCTTACTAGATTAGGGATTTAACTGGCAATCTTATTCCACCTTGTTCCCAGTCTCAGCTTTTTCTTCTCTTTCAGAATCTGCAAGCAACACTTTTTTGATAGTAGACAACAACCTTTTTAAATCTTTAGATTTTTAAGTATAGTAGGGAAAAAAAAAGTTTGTAGGAACAGGGAAATTTTGGAATACATGTTCATGCTTTTACTCCCTTCCCTTGTCCAGTTTTGTATTTTGCAGGAGGAGGAATGGGGTGGTTCACCCGATGTTGTTTCTTCTATATGCGATGTATACTTTTTTAGAGTATTAAAATTTTTTGGGCTAAGTTTCATAGATAAACGGCTGTAGTGCTGTTTGATTTATATATCTTGTTTCAGGCTTTCTGCTATGAGAAAAAATGTTCTGGCAAAGTGTTATGGTGGTGATGTTACAAGAAAGAGGAAGTTGTTGGAGAAACAGAAAGAAGGGAAGAAGCGAATGAAGCGAGTGGGATCCGTCGATATACCCCAAGAGGCATTCCACGAGTTACTCAAGGTCTCATGAAGACTATCTTAAATGCCTTCTAGATTTCTAGATACAAAAGGTAAATGAAGGAATTCCTCTATTTCTTCCCAGTTAATAAGTGTATTTGTTTTGTCCCCTTTAGGGGCAGGTTCTTGATAATTGAATATTGATAGAAGTTTTAGCAGACAGGGGAGACACTGATGAGTAGAAAATGGGAACACTAGACTGACAAGAAAGTTGTATCACGGGATTTAAACTCCTCGTCTAATGAAAAATTAGTTAGGAGTAGTAATAAGTGTTATTCAGTACCATGTTAGCTCGGTTAACATAACTGATTTTTCCTTGCATAAAGCGTAAGATGTCGTCATATACGATGATGGATACCCACACAGTTGATGTTGTACAATCACTAAGTTCCATTGCACAAGCTACCTTTGTTAGACGAGTGGATGAAGATAAAGTTCAACGGGTATGACTATAAAACCCCAATTTTATCCCTAGAGACATACAAATGTTTTGTTGTGGTCAAAGTTGACCCCTTTTTTCATGTGTTGGAGGTGGGATAATTTAAGCCATTGAATAACCCTTTTTGATGACATTATTGTTGGAAGAAAGATCAAATCAGGTCTCTATTGGTCCATCGTACAACATGGATCTCAGCTGCTTACTCTGCAATATTTGAATTCAGAAGTATACCAAGTGCCATGGTAGAAAATTTTCTTGCTAGAATTGATAGGGACGTGACATTTCCTTAGATTATTCGTTTCGTCCAAATCGTTAGAGGGTGGCATAAATTGAGTCCTAATAATGTAGTTGATTGAATTTGGAACTAGATTATGGAAAACTTGATTGTTAACGTTGCTTGTCGTCCCAGATTTTAACCGTATGATGTAACAAATTTGGTTGAAATTGGTAACCGCATTGATTCTTCATTCCGTCTCTCTATTTTTTATTGCTGATTTGAAGTTAATGGGTTCAAAATTTTAGTCTATTTAAATTACCGGTTCTAAATCAATAATTTGTATATATTCAACAGAGATCTCGAGATAAATATAGAATTTTGACCTTATTAGGTTCGGCCGAACCCATAAGTGGTATACTAGCGCTGCGGCTCTGCCCCTCTGTAATTTTGATGGTGCATGTTCAAGCTAATCCAACTTCTTTTTCAGCATTTTAATTCCAATTATCTTGAATTTTATATTATTAAACAACGTACAAGTCAATTACAGGTAACGATACATAGTAAGCCGCATCGGTGATAATTAATCTGATTGACAAGCTTTTATCACACATTAATTTTATATATAGTTTTTTTTTACTCCTTTCAGTTTTAGCATATTCTACCTGAAGTAAAATCTGTATTTTATTTTCAGATTACTAATCTCACTTATTATTAAAAAATATGTTTTGCCGACCTGATATGTTTGTGGGAAAAATCATACAGTATCGGTGCATGTAAGATAAATCCAGAAAAGAAAAGATGTTAGTAATTTGTTACAAGCAGTTAAATTAGTGCTCTAACCTGTTTTAATCCATCCAAATTTGGTTCAATCCGTCCATTTGTAACTTTCAAATGCTACTTGTAAAATTTGATTGTCTTGGTCCTCAAGTTAGGGTTTCTAAATATTCTCTAAAAGATAGATATTCACTATAATTATAACACTCTCATTTGAATGTCTAATTAATAGATAATGTGCCTTGTTAAAAACCTTACTTAAAAAACATCAAAAAAAGAGAAACTCTAGTGAAGGAAAAGAGTACACGTTTCTAATAACATGCATCGACTGCCTCATTAAAAACCTTACAAGGAAAACTCAGTGGGACAAAACCTCATAAGGGAAAAAGAGTGCAACGCGTATTAACTCACCCTAATGAGAACATCTATTTAAAGTATTGAATCTTTTGCATTCCAAGCTTGTGCACCATCTTCTTGAAAGTTGCAATTGGTAGAGACTTGGTGAATAAGTCAGCCACATTGTCACTTGAACGGGTCTGTCACATATTTATATCATCATTCTTTTGGAGCTCATGTGTGTAGAAAAGCTTTGGCGAAATGTGCTTTGTTCCATCTCCTTTTATGAATCCTCCCTTAAGTTGTGCTATGCATGCTGCATTATCTTCATATAAAATGGTGGGTACTTTATCACACTCCAAACCACATTTTTCTCGAATGAGATATATCATGGATCTCCACACACATTCTCTACTTGCTTCATGAATAACTATTACCTTTGCATGATTTGAGGAAGTGGCAACGATAGATAGAATGCTTTGTAGATCTCCAAGATATGGCAGTACCCCTACATATAAACACATAGCATGTTTGAGATTGAGCTTTGTGTAGATCATATAAATATCCTGCATCAGCATAATCAACAAGATTGGAACTGCAATTGTCAAAATAAAATAAACCCATATCAGTTGTCCCTTTAAGATATCACAATATGTGTTTGATATCATTTCAATGTCTTCTAATAGGAGCAAAGCTATACCTTGCTAACAAATTAACAGGAAAGACTATATTAGGCCTTGTAGTATTGGCAAGATACATTAGTAGGTACTTCGAAACCAAGGATTTCCTCGTTCTTTTTTTGAGGTTGGAACGGATCTTTATTCACATCAAGTGAACGAACAACCATCGGTGTACTTAATGGATGCGCTTCATCCATACAAAATCTTTTCAATACTTTTTCTGTGTAGGCAGATTGATGAACAAAAATATGGTTTGTAAAATGCTCAATTTGCAAATCAAGACATAATTTTTTTCCTTCCAAGATCTTTTATCTCAAATTCATTCTTTAAATAATCTATTGCCTTTTGAAGCTCTATTGGAGTTCCAATAAGGTTTATGTCATCAACATAAATAGCAAGTACAACAAGTTTTGACATTGTTTTCTTTATTAAAACACATGGACAAATTGCATCATTTGTATAACCTTCCTTAAATAAATACTCACTAAGATGGTTATACCACATGCGTCCAGATTGCTTCAAACTATACAATGATCCTGAGATTTTGAACTACATGCTTCAAGCATCATAAATTCTTCGAATTTTCACGTGTTTCTCATTATCAAGTGATCCATAAAGATAGATTGTAACCACATCCATCAAATCCATTTCAATTCCCTCATGGACTGTGAAATTAATGAGATAACGCAATGTTATTGCATCCATAACGGGTGAGTATGTCTCTTCATAATCGACATCAAACCTTTGTGAAAATTCTTGTACAACAATACATGCTTTATACCTCTGTGTTTCATTTTTCTCATTTCTTTTTCACACAAAAATCTATTTACAATAAACAAGTTTAATACCATTAGGTGTTTGAACTATAGATCCAAAAATTTCACGCTTGACAAGTGAATTCAACTCTGAGTGAATTGCTTCTTGCCGTTTTGGTCAATCATTTCTTTGTCGAAATTCTATAACAGATTGAGGTTCAAGATCCTCACTATCTTGCATGATTTTTGTTGCAACATATATGCAAAGACATAATCAATCAGTATTTCTGATCGATTATGATTAATTTCGACATCTCTTGAATTTATGGATAGTTCCTTATTTCCTTAAGTCTCAAGATCATTGATTCCTTCATAGATATCAGAATTATTCAAATTTTGAACTTTCATATGATATTTTTTCATAGCATCATCTTTTCCTTAATTGTTTTTTCTAGGATTTTGATCCTTAGAACCCAATAGTCTACTACACTTTAGACGTGCTTCTGACTCATTAGCTATGACACTAGTGGATGGTCCTATAGGGACTTCAATTCGAATTGGGACATTCTCTGCAGGAATATGTAAATTAGTAATCATTTTGAAATCTGTAAATGTGTTAGGCATTTGATTTGCAATTTTCTGGAGGTGAATAATCTTTTGTATTTCTTGCTCACAAATAAAAGGAAACCAATCAAGATGAGACTGATAAATTTTTTCACAAAATTTCTTTTTTTATTTCACTATTTTCTCCCCTTAGTTTTGGGAAAACTGTCTCATCAAACCGACAATCTGCAAATTGAGCAGTAAATATGTCTCAGTTAATGGTTCAAGATAGCAAATAATAGAAGGCGATTCATACCCAACATATATTCCTAACCTTCTTTGAGGCCTCATCTTAGTGTGTTTTGGTGGTGTCAGAGGCACATGAATAACACATTAAATTTTTTTAGATGAGATATATTAGGTTCTTGACCCATAACCAGTTGCAATGGAGAATACTTATGATAATTTATCGGTCTGAGAAGAATAAATGTTGCAACATGCAAAATTGCATGACCCCACACAAAAGTGGAAAACCTAATTTTCATAAGTAATGGTCTTACTATTAACTGCAAACGTTTAATGAATGACTCAGCGAGGCCATTCTGAATATGAAAATCAGCAACAAAGTGTTCAACTCTTATCCCAATTGGTAGACAATAATCATTAAATGCTTGGGAAGAAAACTCTGTAACATTATCAAGAAAAGATGTAGCACAGAGTATGCGTCAGTACTTGGAAGGTACTGAGCATGCATGATAAGATAAAAGCTGAACAAAACATATAAGCTGGAAAAAAATACATAACTAAGCAATGACATAATTTGAACATGATGGAAATACTTAGATATACTGAAAAGAACTAAACTGAATGCAATGACCAAGTACATAACATGTTGAGACTAAATACTGAAGTATAACTGAAGACCTGGTCAAATACACTAGAGTCTGACTGTGGGAGCTACTATTAACCGACATAAAACCACGAGCTAAACGCGGTGTCCGATGTATACGCCCCATCGAGATGACCCAATATACCTTGCCAGGGGTATAAAGGCATGATTGTTCGATGTACACGCCCCATCAAGAGGACCCAATATACCTTGCTAGGGGTATAAAGGCATGAATGGCGTGATCACTAAAGCTGATGCCCAACAGAGGGGACTTATAAACCTATGGGGGCACGTAGTTCTAGGACTATGAGGGTAAACTGGAACCCTAGTCCACTCGGTGCTAAGCCTACTCCCAACTGAATATGTGTATGATACATTATGACTGAAATACTGAAATACGGAATAACTCAAAATACTAACAAGAAAAATCTGAGAATGTAACAATTATATACTGATAATGTGACATTCAAAAACTGAAGCATGCATATCTGTTTAACTGACCTAGCATGGTAATTCATGAACTAAGAGAATCTACACAACTAGGGTTCTGAGTTTCATGCAAAGAACTAAGCAATGATTCCACGAAAACATGATAATCTGATTTGGAATACTCTAACAGCTAAATCACAACTAATATCTAAGGTTTGAGAAACCTTGCAAATCAAGAATCTGACTTAATTTTAGGGACCTAGTGGATGAAAGGAATCCACTAGTGAAATCCCACATACCTGGTGACGAATTTCAAGGAAAAATCTTTCGACTTTGGGGCTGGAACTTGCTGGTCGTTCTTGGGGAAAACTGGCACCTCTTTTTCCTCTTTTGTTCTAAGCTTGGT